CCCCTTCATCCCATGGTCACACTCAGGGCCCCCGCGGTCCCATAGTCATACTCAGGGCCCCTCCAATCCATGGTCACACTCAGGGCCCCCTCCATCCCACGGTCACTCTCAGCCCCCTCCATCCCAGGGTCACACTCAGGGGTCCCTCCATCCCATGGTCACACTCAGCCCCCTCCATCCCATGGTCACACTCAGCCCCCTCCATCGCATGGTCACACCCAGGCCCCTCCATCCCATGGTCTCACTCAGCCCCCTCCATCCTATGGTCACTCTCACGGATGCCCTCCATTGCAGGGTCACACATGCAGCCCTGGCACTTCTACCTCCTCCCCGAGACCCTATCCTGGCCTGGCCCCCCTTCCTTATCCCATAGTCTCAAGACCCTCTAGGCAGACAGCGAGACACCAAGGGACAGCACCCCACGTGTCCCTGAGCCTCAGTGGAAGCCCTAGACCTAAACCTCCAGGCCCAGGGCCAGGAAGAGAGGTGAGAGCCGAGCTGCCGCCAACCCTGTGGCTCACCTGCTGCAGGATGCGGCCCCGGGAGGCCACGGCAGCACTGTGTTCCTGGATGCCCCTGCGGGAGGCCAGGGAGATCTCCTGCAGGGGGAAGTCCACAATGGGGTATACCTGGGGGAGACACGGATCACTTTGCTTTCCCAAACCCACAGCATCAGCACCTGAAGCTTTTGGCTATAGGCTCTGAGCTGTGTGCCTGGAAGGGAATTCAGACTCACTCCTCACTCACACTCTGAAGCTACCTACTATGTGCCCAGCATTGTGTGTGAACTGCAGGTGTATGTGCATCATCGATGAACCCTTGATGATGCACTCCTGTGATCCCAGCACTCAGGAGGCTGAGGCAAGAGGGTCATTGCGAGTTCAAGACCAGCCTGAGCTACAAAAGTGAGCTCTAGGCCAGCCTGCACTGCACAGCAAGATCCTGCCTCAACCACACACACACACACACACACACACACGCACGCACGCACGCACGCACACACACCCTGAGCTCACAACCATCCTACATAAAGACAAAGAACAAAAGTGACTACTTCCCAGACTCTGTGTCCCCTGAGCCACATGGGAAATCCTCCCACATCAGGGCCAGGCCTGTCCTCTAGGACTCCTCACTGTCCTTGAAACTTCTGAGCCATTGCCCTGTCCCTCCACCCTCCGAAAGCACTTGCTCCATGTCCACCTGGACCTGATGCTGCTGTGGACACTGCGGGTAGGAAGTGACTGCCAGGGCACTGCCTGTCTGAGTGCACTCCGCAGCCCTCTCCAGAAACATCAGCCCTGTGGATGAGTCCTGGGCTCGTCCTGGGTCCAGACAAGCCTGGGGTGGAGCCAGCAGGCCTGAGGCCACCTCTTCCACAGGAAACCTTGTGGCAAAGGCCCCCCACAGAGGTCTGTTTTCCCTCCACTTTGCCCTGGGAGCAAGAAGGCAGCCACAGATGGTGTAGAACCCAGTGGATCCCTACTGGGATCCAAGAAAAACCTACTTAGCAAAGCAGGTGTAACCCGGGCTTCCCGACCCGACCATGGGACACCATGGTTTCAGTGCTGGCACCTGCCACGTCCAAGCTCCAGGACAAGATGGCTTGGCAGCCTCCTTCCTGCCAGGGCAGCTGTGTCTCCACCCCGCTACCACTGAGGACTGCAGCCCTCACTGCACAAGAGGCGGCCCCTGCCCTCTGAACCCTGCATACCGCCGAGTTCTCATCCTTGAAGAGGTTTTCTCCTTTGGCTTTCCCCAGGAGCTCCCTGGGGCAGTTGAGGTGCGGCTCAGACACAAACTCAAACAGGCTGTTCCTCCTGGGAGGCAAGAGCAGAGGGGCCTGTGTGTAGGGTCGGGGACAGGGCCACAGGATGCACGGGAGGGGCAGTGCTCTGCCGGGCATATGGCTGACCCTCACTACATAGCAGTGGTAGGTGGGATGTGGCAGGACACCAGGACTATGACCTCAGGCAAGGGCGCATGGGAGCACAGGGAGGCAGTGTCAGCCTTGGGGCCCATCTGTGCCACTACTCCCTCGCAGGACTCTTTTGGCCCAGCAGCTCCCAGCACTCCAAAGCCCCACCACATGGTTTGGGAGCCATCCCCCGGCCCTTCCTTCCGCCCAGGCCCCAGGACGATGCCACATACCATGTGGTGACCAGCTGCACAAAGTGCACCAGCTTCCGCTCCCCACGGCAGGTGGCACATGCCTTGCTCCCACTCCCGGAGCACACGCTGCATCTGAGGACCACAGTCAGACTGCTGACCGCTTGCAGGGGCTCCCAGGCTCCGAGTTCTCTCAGGCCGCCCCTCATCCCTCCCTGGACCTCCCTCCTGTGTCCAGGGCATGATTGGAACATCAGTCCTCTCCTGGGGTGACTGAGCCAAGGCCAGTCCATCTCTCCAGCCCCAATCCAAAGAGCCCTGAAGCCAGGCTGGAATTGTATTGCTGGCAGTTCACTGTTGCTTGGCCCTGTAAATTTGTTTTTCTAAAGCCAGTTTACGCTGGATTATTATTTTTTTTTTTTGCCCTCTAAAAAAGTAACCTGCATTTTCTTCCAAACAGACCTTCTTCCCTCTTCCTGGTGGAAGGCCCACCAAGCTTTACCATCCATCCAGCTTCCAGGAGGAAGACAAGATGAGCCACGTATATCAATTACCAACCCAGCTTTAAATATTCTCATTCCTTTTGATTTTGTTTCTCTTTAGAGATTTATAAGTACATTAAAGGACATGATTTATAAAAATACAGTGAGTAAGGAAAGAATACTGTTGGTAGTTAAGTCGCTCGACCAACTTGTCTTGCTCTGAGAGTTGCCTAGCACCTGCTCCTCAGAGGTGATTCCTACTTTTCAGGTTTGAATAATCACTTCCTGCTGTGGACAGGAGGAAGCCTGCTGCTCCATAGAACCTTCTTCTGCACACCTACCTGCCCTCATACTGCCTGTTTGGTGGTATCTTTGGTTGGGTTTTTGTTTTTTGGGTTGGTTGGTTGGTTGGTTTTGAGACAGAGTCTCAATATGTAATTCAGACTGGCCTTGAACTCATTATGCAGACCAGGTTGACTTCAACCTCACCGTGATCCTCCTTCCTCAGCCTCCCTCCTGAGTGCTGGATTATGAGCATGCACCACCACTCCTGGCACATACAGCTTGCTGAGTGCCTTGTTTCCTGGGAATGCCAGGCCTGGTGAGCTCAGCCCCCTGGACACAGACAGTAGAAATGAAGGCACCCGAGAGCCAGGGCACTTCCCCTGCAGGAAGGGAACCCCGCCTGCTCCTACCTGCGCCTGCCGGAGCCCGAGCACAGGGGACACCTCCGGGGTGGCCGGGCTTTTCGCTTGGCTCCACTGCATGCTGGGCACCTCACCTGCAGACAAGCACAGCCTCAGCCCACAGGTTTCTGGGAAGCAGGGCACCAGCCACTTCCTCTGAGCACAGGAAGTCAGGTGTGGGGGTTCTCAGACTCCTCGTTACTGAAGAAACCCCTGCTTCTTCTGAGACAGCAGCCTCCCTGCCTCCCCCATCCCAGATCCCCCAGAGACTCCCCACCCAGTGTTAAGAGGGCAGGAGCATGGGGCTGGCAAGACTCTACGGCAGGGGACAGGAGGAATATACACATGGGTCATTTTTGGAATTGGCCCAAGAGGGGGCCTGGGCATGATCTGTGGAGATAGGAGGAGGAGAAACAGGCCAGAGAGATCGGGACCCAGGAAAGCCACCAGGGGCAGATGCCAGGAAGGAAGGGAGAAACCAGGCACAGGACATGGCAGTACATGGGCCACAGGCTGGGAACATAGGAGAAGTCAGTCCACAAGAGGGCAGTGCAAGGTGAGGGTGAGGGTGGCCTGCCGTCAGCATGTGACCCACAAGAAGGATCCCACTAGGCAGAGCCAAGAACACTTGGGGAATGGGGTCCTCCTCTAGGGATACTCTAGGGCCAAGGAGGCTTCTGGGAAGGAGGCTAATGCCCAAGGGCCAAGATGTCTGCTCCAGGCCCATGCTGGGGTGCACTCAAATTCAGCCAGGTTCAAGTCCACAGGAACCTCAGCATGAGACCTTATTGGAAAATAGTCTTTACAGAAGTCATTAGTTAAGATGAGGTTGCAGGACCTCCACAGCCTCAGCTGGGCCCAGAGAAGGTTTATAAGCCCCAGCTCCTGTGACTCTCAAAGCCACCCCAGCATCAAGTGCTGGTCCAGATCAGCCTGCCAGGCCAAGGGCCTCCGGCTGGGGGCACCAGGGCTTAGTTCTCTTAGGGACCCGGCACTAAGCAAGTGACTAGTGCATGCTGGGAGATGGATGGGAAAAGGAGAGAAAAACTAAAATGGAACTGTCCAGGTGCAAGAGTCATTAGATGCGCCCACTTTATAGATGAGAAACCCCTTTGCATCAGTCCAAGAGATTAAACCCCAGTTCTTTACACTAAGCTACATCCTCACCCCTTTTTATTTTTTATTTTGGGACAAGTTCTTGCGCAGTTGCCTAGGCTGTGGTTGAGCTGCAATTCTCCTGTTCCAAGCACTAGGTATGTAAGTGTGCATCACTACATGCAACTAAACCCTCCCATTTTACAGATGGGAAAATGGAGGCCCAAAAGGGAGGATGATTTCTCGAGGTAGTCGTATTCATTCAAGAAGACCCAGGCCCCAGCCCCATCATGGGTTCCTGTCCTCTCCCCACAGTGGGAACATCTCCTTCTGGTGGCCCACAGGTGACTCACCATGCCAGACCCGTGGCAGCTGCTGCATTTGTACCGTCCACGCCCATAGCACTTGTGGCAGTCCTGAAAGCACAGTGGCCCCCCTTAGAACCAGTCTGCACACACCCCACCCACCAAGATGCCCCCACCTCAGGCAGAAGTGCAGGTTCACAGCCAGAACAGGCCTGGATCTGCCTGTCCTGCATGCCAGGAAGGGGGCTCTTGGAGTCCCAACTGACCTTGGGCAAAGCCACCAGTCAGGCAGTGCATGTCCCTCCGTGCTAATACAGGCTTTGGAGCAGAAGCCGTGAGTGCCGGGTGGCACTGGTGTGACAGCAACGAACTTGCTGATAATATTTAACTACCACTAATTAAAAACAGCTTTGGAATGCTTTGTGGCCTCTCCAAGTCTTTTTGATCGCCTAACTCTATGAAAGTACAAAGAGTAAAACTCCCCTTCCGGAGTCAAACCCTAATGGGAAAGCAGGCAGTGTTTAGAGGAGAAAAGAATCTAAAGACATGGGAGTGAAAGGCTGCTTCCTGTTGACTCCCTAGAGAAACACCGACACGTTTCCACATTTATTCTGGATCAGTTTCGCTGGCGCCTCAGTTGTGTACCATCGAGATACACACTGCTTCGTGAGTGTCACTAAGTGCTGCTCACCATCTAAAGGTTGTGGATGCGGGGGGCTTCCTGCCTCCACAGTGCCCACTCCCTAATTCAAGTGGGTTCTGTGTGAGTCCACGGTTCATCCAGGGTTTGAAATTAAGCTTACTTATACTTGAGCAAGAAAAATCAGGCTGGGGGAAGGATTCTTTTCTAAGAGGACAAGAAGCAAGCAGAAGCTGGAAAAGCAGCTCTGAGAAGAGCATTGCATCAGTCACAAACCTTGACCAGGGAGGAGTGAGGCACTTGGGACTTCCTGGTGTCCTCCTGGAACATGGCAGGGACCTGGACCTGGATGTCCCAGAGCTTGGGTGAGGTGCCTCTCTGTGGCCCGTCAACTGAGTGGTCTGACACAGCAAGGCAATGGGGAGAGGATTTTATTTATTCAAAAAGCACGAATTAGGCCAGATCCCAGGGCTGCAGAAATGGTGTCCAAGCCAGCCCACGCCTCCAATCCCAGCACTCTGAGAAGCAGGAGGATCCCAAATCTGAACCCAGCCCTGGAAAGTTAGCAGTTTAATAAGACAATATCAAAAAAAAAAAAAAAAAAGAATAGTATCAGAAGACCCTGAGTTCAATCTTCAGTAGTGGAAAGAAAGAAATGAGTGCATAAACGTCTCCTCAGAGGCTGGTTAAGTGTGCAAGCTTTCAAACCAGGCATGTCTGGGTGTGACTCCAGGCGAGACGCTCAGCCTCTATAAGCCTCAGTTCTCTCATCCATGAAGTGCGGATTATGCTGGCACCTACTATATACGATGGTAGCCAAAATTGAACAGAAAAATGTGTATAAAACACTTATCATGGGTCTGAAATGTATCAAAGGGCCAGTAAACAAGAGCTGACATCCACGGCTGATATCCTCACCACGATCCCAGCTCATTTCTCTGTGGGAGGCAGACGCAGCACACGTCACAGCCCACCATGACAGGACGCAGTAAGTGCTCTGCACAAGTCCTAAACAAAGGGCTCTCAAAACTCAGGCCCAGCCAGTCCTCTGGGCAGGGACAGCAGTGCAAAAGGTTTCCTGAAAAGGTGGACTGAGTCTTGCAGAATGGCCTGAGTGGCCAAGCAGAAAATGCAGACAGAATCAGGACTTCT